GCTAACATTACATACCCACTGAAACAACTCTCTATTCCCCTCCCCCCATGGACTCTATAGTCCGTGGGGTGGCAAAGAGTCGGACACGACTGAGCGACTTTCACTGTCCTGAAGTACGTTCACCTTGCTGTACATCCGTCACCACCATCCACGTGTAGAACTTTTTCCATCTGTCCAAGCTAACATTACATACCCACTGAAACAACTCTCTATTCCCCTCCCCCAGCCCCTGGCACCCACGGTTCCTCTTTGTATTAATATCTCTGCAGTTGGGACTTCTAAGCACCGCACACGTAAGCGGAATCACATGAGATTTGTCCTTTTTGAGCCTGTTTTACTTCTCCCAGTGGAATGTCTTTGCAGTTTAATGATGGTGTAGCTTGTGTTTTGCTTCTTGTGGGTAAGCAGTGTTCCATTGTGTGTGTGTGTGTGTGTCTGTGTGTGAGTATGGTGGTTTGTTAATCCCTTACCCCATGGGTGGATAGTTGAGTGATTTACGGAGAAATCTTTTAAAGCTGGGTCCTGTGACTTGCCTGCTGGTCCTGTGGCTAAGACTCCACATTCCCAAGGCGGGGGTACGAAGGAAGGCCCAACACAGCCCAAGAAAGAACTCATCAATTTTGAAAAAAGAAAGAAAGTGGGGGGCTCCAGGTCACAGTGGCCTGTGACCACTCTTTAGCCCTAGAAAGTGATGGCAGGAGGCGTGTGGGGTCCATGGTATGGTACTCACGGGGAAAACTCCAGAATCTTCATACTCCTCCTCGAGTGCCTTAACGCAGTCTTCCGCTGATTTAGGAACTGTCTTCTGAGATGAGCTTCTGTTAGTTCTTGCCACCTGCCTCGTTCCATTCGACCTCCGTGGGGAAGAGCTGCAGAAGAAATGTTTGGATGCCTAGCAGAACTGTGCCCTGCGCTGGCCAGCATGTCCCCGTGCTGTTTTCTAGTGAGATGGCTTCCTCCTGAGCTGTCTGTAAAAAAATAGATAATTTTACTTGTTCCTTTGTTGTTTAACTCTGCTGTGTCTTCCATTGGGCTCCCATGGTGGCTCAGCTGGTAAAGAATCCGCCTGGGACCTGGGAGACCAGGGTTCGATCCCTGGGTTGGAAAGATCCCCCCCTGGAGAAGGGAACGGCCACCCACTCCAGTACCGATGCTGCGTGGGCTGGCTTTCTCGTGGCAGAGATCGGGGCCTCCTCTCTATAAAGCTGCAGTGCGCGGGCTTGTCACTGGTGGTTTCTCTTGGTGCAGAGCTCAGGCTGAAGAGTGTTGGGTCTTAAGTAGTTTTGGAGCACTGGCCCTTGGGGGTATGGGCTTCGGAACTTGGGGTGCACAGGCTTACTAGTTCCCGTGGCATGTGGGATCTTTCCTGGACCAAGGATCAAACTCACGTCTCCTGCGTTGGCAGGCGGACTCTTCACCACTGAGCCACCAGGGGAACCACCTCCTTGGGAGTTGCCCACAGCCCCGAAGAGGGATGTGTGAATGTCCCTTATTGCCCCCTGACTCCGCTTTCCTGTTCCCACCTCATTTGCCTCCTCTGCGAAACTGTAAACTCCAGCGCTGTGTGTATACACTCGTGAGACACTTTGCAATCAACGTGATGAAGTCTTTATGTGAAAGGGTTCTTGATGATTGTGAAATGGGTCTGTAACTCCAACATCATCTACCAAAAAAAAATAAAACCAGTGCTCTATATTGGGATCTGATTCTGTCCTGACATGGTTATTGCAATACTAAAATCCTAAAGCAATTGCTATTTGCTGACAGGGGTACACAGCGATGTCTTTCAACTTGGATAAGCTTAGAACTTTACACAGAGCAGTTGGAATGAATTTCCCTTGACACTTGGTTGCTGAGTAGGAACCCAGAATGGATGTTGAGGTTTTCTGTTCGTCTGCCACAGGTGAGCAGGACATTTGGAGTGCTGAATGCTAGGATTGGAGTGGGATACTGGTTTCACCAGGCGTGCCACACAGATATGTGATCTGAGTTTTGCTTTGGGGTGGAAATTGTAGGGTGCAGACTTGGAGTCTTGACAGAAGTGCATTGGAATAGTTGAAAATCTGTTTAAAAAATTTATATTCTCTCTGGCAAGTTACCTTGCTCAACAAAGTGCTCTGATGGAATCTTTTAAAACACACAGCTATCTCTTGTTTTTTTTTTTTTCAAACTAAATAAGCTGCTACAGATGGCTTTTATTTTATAAACCTGAAATAAAGCTTCATGGGTAAGGCATATCCTCACGGCTGCGGGATTTTCTGGTTTCTGTGACTGATTAATTTGAAGGATGATTCACGGTTTAACTTATAGTTTCTGTGTTAAATTAATGACATTACTGGGTTCACATTTTGTTTTTATTTTAGTGTTGCTGATTAATTTTAAGTGTGATTCACATTTTAGCCTACAGTTTCTTTGTTAGATTTATTACGTTATTGGGTACTTTATTCTTTGGCTTACAAACCTTCTAATTGGAGGCATTGCCTGTCAGAGTGATAAATGGCTGGGTATTTCCTGACCTCTAAAGTTTTTTCCATCCACTTTAAAGATATTTTTCTGTGTGACCACATAGTGTTTGGTTTACAAAATATCAGTTCAGTAGCTCAGTCGCTCAGTCCGACTCTTTGCGACCCCATGGACTGCAGCACATCAGGCCTCCCTGTCCATCACCAACTCTCCAGAGCTTGTTCAAACTCATGTCCATTGAGTCAGTGATGCCATCCAACCATCTCATTTTCTGTCGTCCCCTTCTCCTTCTGCCTTCAGTCTTTCCCAGCATCAGGGTCTTTTCGAATGAGTCAGTTCTTCGCACCAGATGGCCAAAGGATTGGAGTTTCAGCTTCAGCATCAGTCCTTCCAATGAATATTCAGGACCGATTTCCTTTAGGATGGACTGGTTGGAACTCCTTGTAGTCCAAGGGACTCTCAAGAGTCTTCTGCAATGCCACAGTTCCAAAGCATCAATTCTTAAGTGCTCAGCTTTCTTTATAGTCCAACTCTCACATCCATACATGACTGTTGGAAAAACCATAGCTTTGACTAGACGGACCTTTGCTGGCAAGGTAATATCTCTGCTTTCCAATATGCTGTCTAGGATGGTCATAGCTTTTCTTTCAAGGAGCAAGCGTCATTTCATTTCGTGGCTGCAGTCACCATCTGCAGTGATTTTTGAGCCCAAGAAAATAAAGTCTCCCACTGTTTCCATTGTTTCCCCATCTATTTGCCATGAAGCAGTGGGACCGGATGTCGTGATCTTCAGTTTTTGAATGTTGAGTTTTAAGCCAAAATACACATTCCTTTAAAACACGGAAGTTAAGCTGCAGATACGTTTTCAACCAAGGCTTTTCACAGTGTTTACTTACATAGAATACTGTCACTTTGCATTCTGGAGCTATTTGTCTTTGCCTAGCCTAGGATGTAGGTAGAATATTAATCTCATGTGAAAGTGAGATAAGCAGGGAGCAGATGGATTTATGGCTCTCGAGACCTGTGAACTCTGCCGCGGCAGAGAGTTCTTGAATGCGAATCAAGAAATTCCGGGCTGTGGCTAGCCAGGGCTGGCGTGACCTGATTTGCCACACAATACATCATCCTGCTGGGGATCCGTTTTCTTGCGACGTGCCTCCTCGGGTTTGGTCCTGACTCTCTGATGCTGCTGCACTGGGCTCCCTTTGAGAGAATGAGACGGCTCCTTCATGTAAGAGCCCTGGGCGTGGGTCGGGCCAGGCTTGCTCCACAAGTCCCCCGGGGGCGGAAATTCTGGGTCCCAGGGGCTGCAGCAAGTTCTCAGATGCGTTCAGTCACTGGAGGTTGAGGAGCGTCTGCACCCCAGGCTCTCTGTAGCCAGGTAGGATGCAGAAGGAACTTCCCAGGTAGCTCAGTGGTAAAGAACCCCCCCTGCCAATACAGGAGACGGGGGTTTGATCCCTGGGTCAGGACGATTCCCTGGGAGGAGGAAATGGCAACCCACTCCAGGATTCTTGCTTGGAGAATCCCATGGACAGAGGAGCCTGGCAGGGCTCCAGTCTCGGGGGTCGCAGAAGAGTCGGACACGACTGAGCAACAGAAAGAGGGTACTCACATAGCTGTACAGGCATCGCCACAGTTTAATTTTAAGAGTATTTTCCGTGCCCCCACAAAGAAACCACATCCCCCAGAGCCACACTCCCTACTTTTCCCTCGCTGTCCTCAGCCTCCCCGCAGCTGCAGACCGGTTGTGTATCTCTGTGGATTTGCCTGTACTGGGCGTTTTCCATAAATCATATGTTGCATGACTTCTCATGAGTTTGTATCTCTGACTTTGCACAGTGTTTTCAAGATTCACGTATGTCGTAGGCTGTATTCGTGGCTTCCTTCCTTTTTATAGCCGAATCGTTCTATTTCATGGTTCAGTTCACTTGCTCAGTCATGTCTGACTCTTTGCGACCCCGTGAACCACAGCACGCCAGGCCTCCCTGTCCATCACCAACTCCCAGAGTCCACCCAAACCCATGTCCATTGAGTCGGTGATGCCATCCAACCATCTCATCTTCTATCATCCCCTTCTCCTCCCGCTTTCAATCTTTCCCAGCATCAGGGTCTTTTCCAATGAGTCAGGTCTTTGCATCAGGTGGCCAAAGTATTGGAGCTTCAGCTTCAGCATCAGTCCTTCCAATGAACATGGTAGGAACAGACTGTATCTTCTCCATCCATCCATCAGTTCATGGACACGGGTTGTTTCCGCTGTTTGACAATGTCAGTCATGCTGCGGTGAACGTTCCCATCCTGGATATGGTGTGGATGTGTGCTAAGTGAGATCGCTATGGCCCAGTGGACCGTTTTCTGCCAAATTGATAAGGGGTGGTCTTTAAAATGAAAATGTGCACGCACACACACACACACACACACAAAATGTGTAGAAGTGCATTCAAAAAAATTATATACATAATCTTATATACATATGATTTATGTTTATATCATTGCAGAGAGATCAGGGGCTGCTCCAGGTCTGGTGTTGAGGCTTCTCATTTCGGGGGGCTTCTGTTGTTGCAGAGGATGGGCTCGTAGCAGTTGTGGCTTGCGGGTTCAATTATTGTGGCCACGTGGCCTCTTCCTGGACCGGGGATCAAACCCTGCGTCAGATTTCCCAAAGCTGGCCTGGTCCTTCCATACAGTGGAGACGGCTGCGGCCCCGTCTTCCAGATGAAGGGAAGGTGCGGGCTCACCAGGTCGAGCCAGGCGTCCACCCTCCATGTGGCTTGTCCCCCAAGTGTCAGACTTGGGAGGGTGAAGTTCGTCGGATCAGCCTCTGAGCGTTTCCGGGTTGAGTGAGGAGCCAGCATCGCTTCTGTGCTGTTCGCCGCTTTCTCTCAAATCGAATTCTGGGAAACCCGACACCATCCGCCAGCATGTAGGGAGATGGTCAGGGGGCCTGGGTGTGTCCTCTTCCCTTCCTGTTTGTTTGCTTACGGTCCAGGATCGTCAGCCTCTGGAAAGGGCCTTTTCTGCCAACCAGCCTTGATGATGGTTGTTTAGTTTCTTAAGTCGGGTCCAGCTCTTTTGCAACTCCGCGGACAGCAGCCCTTCAGGCTCCTCTCTGTCCACGGGGATTCTCCAGGCAAGAATCCTGGAGTGAGTGGGTTGTCCTATCCTCCAGGGGAATCTTCCCGATCCAAGGATCGAATCTGCGTCTCCTGCATTGGCAGGCCGTTTCTTTACCGCTCAGCCACCTGGGGTATCGGCAGTATCGGGGCCCCAGATCCTCTGGATAAAACTACAGAGGAAGGTCCACTGCTCGTTAAGCCTGTGATGAGATGCTTAAGACTGTTCGCCGAGTACAGTAAACCTTCCCCCACCTGCCTACCACCCACATACGTCAAGTGGAGGTGGTAAACCCCCCTCCGGCTTCCCTGCACCCTCGTCTCCAAAGTAAAACGCTTCAGTGGGAGGTGGGCCTGGCGCTGAAAACGATGGATGTCAGTAGTAACAGGCCACACCTGTGAGCGTCGAAGCCCAGCGGTATGTCACCCCCAGCTGGAGGATGGAACAGAAGGGAGCCCTGGAAATGCTGGGCTGAAAAGGACTCTGTTGGTGGGGTCACACAAGCGACATCCTGTGTCCTCCGTGGTCGCCCGCGGCAGGATGCGCGGGCGTGTTTGGCACTGAGACGGACCTGGCAAGCAAGGCGGCCTCGGGAGGGAAACTGAATTGGCCGTTTCTTTTAAGGATACTGAGAACTGTTGCAGCCTCTGGCGTCCCAAGGAAGCTCAGGACAGCTTGCCAGACAGATAGCATGGATAATAAATAACAGAAAGAGAAAAAAAAAAAGAAATGAAACCACGATGCTTTCTTTTCCGTGAAAGTCATTTTTATCCTGTTTGCAAAAAACCATGGATTTCAGTGGGGACAGCTGTGTTAGCAAGTGTACCAAAGACAGTTATCCTAGGAGTTAGATTGAAATCATTCACAGAAGTAAGTTCTCTGGCAAACTGGAAACCCCAGGGGGGGGATTTTGCATCTTATTTAATGTAAAAATTCCTCGAAGCAAATATGTTGTGGTTCCAGGCAGTTTATTGGTTTTTTTTTTTTAATTTAATTTTCCCTTAAATATTTGTGAATGTGTGAATTACTCTGTATGCCAACTGTGGAAAATAAAGCCACAGAGAGACGGGAGGAGGGAGATGTTGGATAAATTCCTCTCCAGCAGAGAATTGAAGCGTCCTGTTATAACAGAATCGTCTCCTGTTACAACAGAATCCGTCTCCACAACAACTGATGCAAGAAAGCTGTAACAGATTTGAAACTTGCAACTGTGTGTCCACCAACGGGGCCTTGGGAAGCCCTCCCAGGCATCGTGGCAAGCTCCCAGTCTGAAATTTTTGCTGTCATGGGGCTTTGGTACCCCTGCCTGTGGGGTGGTGAAGAAGGCACAACTTTATTTTTAACCTCTTGTAGGGAACACCCCTGACGTGTTGTGTTGATGCTTACTGATGGAATGGGAAATTGGAGCCCGAATAATTAGGCTGACTCTCCAGATATCACGTGTGAGCTGGGAAGGGACTCGAACGCAGGCCCTGTTTGCTCTTGCAGGGACTGAGGGAGGAAATGACCGGGAAGGTGATCAAGCTGGTTGTCTGGTGTCCGGTTGTCGCTTTCCTTTACTTGCATGGAGCTGCATTTGGGGATTCCAGATCCCCATACGGCCCCGCCTGGAGCGGGGGAGTTCTTTGTTTTCCTGAGCCCCATGGGAGACGGAGACACATAACTGATGTGAAGAGAAGCCAGAAGCCAGCATCGTGGGGCTGCGAGCTGGTTTAAACCCCTGCCCCGTCTCTGCACGTCAGCTCTGTGATTCTTCTCTCCCTGGAAGCCAGCAGGAGACGGAGCACACGGCACAGTTTGCTCGCTGGGTGTGAGCTCTCTTCAGCCACTGGGAGTGGCAAAAAGTCGAGCAAGGAACAGGGGAAGGTGGAGATGACCGTGAGAACCTTTTTCGTGGCTTCATGAAAGTAAAGGGAGCCAGTTAAAAAGCTGGTACCAGCTTTTTTTTTTTTCCCTCGGGACTGCACCGCCAGAGAACTCCTTGGTACCAGTGTTGATACAGGATGAGATGGTTGGGTGGCATCACCGACTCAATGGATGTGAGTTTGAGCAAGCCGCGGGAGCCGGATGGACAGGGAGGCCTGGTGTGCTGCAGTCCACAGGGTCGCAGAGAGTCTGACATGACTGAGCAACTGAACTGCAACAGGCTGAGCACTGCTTTGCTGATGTTCCCATGGCAACCTGATTCCCACGGTGGTGGTCTTAGCAAGGGTCTGTGTCTGACAGGCTGACTCCTTTACTTAGCTCCGTTCGAGCACTGTGAGCCTAGTGCCTGGGAGCAAGAGTTCCTTGTGTGTGTGTGTGTGTGTGTGTCTGCATGCATGTCCTTAGCCACTCAGTCGTGTCTGACTCTTTGCGACCTCTTGGACTGTAGCTGACTAGCCTCCTCTGTCCATGGGATTCTCCAGGCAAGAATCCAAATAAATATCGACTGTGTATTTACTTACAAATATATAAATAGATGTTGAATGTATTTATGTGGTCGTTCAGTTGCTAAGTTGTGTCCAACTCGTTGCGACCCCATGGACTGCAGTGGGTCAGGCCCCCCTCCCTGGCCATCACCACGTCCTTCCTGGAGTTTGCTCAGACTTGAACTCATATCTAGGATAGGTGTGAAGGGAGGGAAATAATCTTTAGGAATTCACTTGTTAACAAGTGGTCAGTCTGACATCAAGCACTATATATTTACAAATGCATTTATTTGTAAACGTATAATATAATATTATATTTGTGTTATATGTTAATATTATGTAGTATAATATGTACTAATATACTAATAATTAATGCTATTAATATAATATACATGTAATTAATATGTTAATATAACATAACAAATATACTAATATAACTAATATATTAATATAATATGACTGTAATTAACATAATAAATATAAATATTTCTTTATTTGGGTACACCACATCTCAGTTGCAACACCCAGGATCTTTAGTTACAGCACGCATGACCTCTTAGCTGTAGCATGTGGGATCCATCTCCCCAACCCAGGATTGAACCCACCTGCCTCCCTGCCTGTCCACTGGGACCACAGAACCCCTCCCTCCCCGCCCCCCACCAAGGAAAGTCCCAAGAATTCTTAATTTTTATCCAGTGCACATAAGTCCTTTGTGCTTGTGATACTAAATACGTGATTAAGCATTACAGGGAGATGAGGATTACAAACTGAAGGTTGATTTCCAAGAAATTCAGGTGGATGACGGCTGGCCCTGCGTGAGGGCGGTTCCAATGAATGGGATTCCCACGGCTTTGCTGCTCTTTCTGTTTGAAAGAGGGTTGAGAGTAAAATCGGATATTGAAGTGGATAGCATCGGTTCGGAGGAGGGCGTGGCAACCCACTGCAGTATTCTTGCCTGGAGAACCTCCACGGACAGAGGAGCCTGGTGGGACATGGTCCAAGGGGTCGCAAAGAGTCGGACACGAATGAGCAGCTGATCACGCAGCACGGCATCGGTTATGGATTGTGCGACAGAACGTTGTAACTGAAGTTTAAACGGTGTATGTCTGCTCACATCTGACATACATATACTCTTATCTTGTTAACATAAACTCAGAGAGGCGGGGGGCGACCCCCCAGCCCAAGTCATGATGAGGTTTGGGGAGCTTATGTTGGGAAAGAGTCACGGAGAAGCGTGGTTGAGGGCAGGAACCATCTGGCAGGGAAGACCCAGTACGGATCCCCGAGATCGAGCTGGTCCACCATTTCTTGGGCTCTTCCCTCCCAGCTAGCGAGGGCTCCTGTTCACTCCGTGTCCCCTTCAGCAAAAGCTCTGAGGTTTCAGCCTCACTTTTGGGGCCCTGCGGAAGAATGATATCTTTGCCTTCGCGTGCACATTAAACGCAGGTGTCCACGGAAAGCACTAAGCACAGTGTCGGGCCCTTCTGCAGCCACTCGGCCAGTGCGATCTTAACGTTTCGTCATCATTTTGCAGCAAAAGAGATGCCGGGGTTGCACAGCCTCCTGTCTGTCTTCTCTCAGATGCCACGTTTTATGTCCCAGGTCACTGCTCTCCCATGTCCCAGCCTATTTAAGTTCTTTTTTGTTTCTATTTTGTTGCTTCCCTGGGTGGCTCAGCTGCTAAAGAATCCGCCTGCAATGCAGGAGACCTGGGTTCGATTCCTGGGTCAGGAAGATCTGCTGGAGAAGGGATAGATTACCTACTCCAGTCTTTGTGGGCTTCCCTTGTGGCTCAGCTGGGAAAGAATCCGCCTGCAATGCGGGCGACCTGGGTTCGATCCCTGGGTTGGGAAGATTCCCCTGGAGAAGGGAAAGGGTACCCACTCCAGGATTCTGGCCTGGAGAATTCCGTGGACGATACAGTCCATGGGGTTGCAAAGAGTCAGACGTGACTGAGCGACTCTTACTTCACTTCATGCCATTCTGAAAGGAACACAGTTGTGTCCGGGTGCATTTTTAGGCGGAGAGTAGTATGTGTTAGTTCTCAGGGATTCGTAGGCCGTCATTTGATAGCGTTGGGTATTACTAGTACTGGGTCATGGGGGAAATTTCCCAATAACAGCATTCCATATTAATGCAGCCCTCCCTGTCCCCACCCCCTCCACCCGCTTTCTGCTTTACTGTCTTCCTGGGGTTTCTTCTAGGAATTTTTCCTTAGCCATCTTTAGTGGCTGTTTTCCTGGGTGGCTTAGCAGTAAAGAACCTGCCTGCCAGTGCAGGAGCCGCAGGAGATGCCGGTTCGATCCCTGGGTCCGAAAGATCCCCTGGAG